ATTCGTCCACCACAAATTTTAGAAAAAGTTTAATCTAGACAAAAAGTAAAAAACACCTTCAGTGGAGATAATGTTTAACGACTTCCAGTCTTTATGTATGTTGAATGGTATCAAATGACGGTTTTTTTCCTTTCTGTATCTTTTATTTCATTTCTCCTTAAATTTCTATGTTAAAGGCCTTTTGGTGATAGACTATTAACAGTTGTAATAATCTTTACCTTTCAGTGTGTCATCATCAAAGTTCAGCTCTTGTCCGGTACCAAGTAATGTAACATCACTCTCACTTGCTGCTCCGTTTCCACTCTGTGCCATAATGGTTTGATCTGGAAAAATCGGTATAAAGCTGTAAACTGACATTATCTTTACTTGTATATAAAGCACTAGTACCAAAACAGCCATTCATTTTGTCACAAGTGGTAAACTCCACCACAAATTCTAGGAAAAGCCTAATCCAGATGAAAAGTTAAAAAACCACCTTCAGTAGAGATAATGTTTAACGACTTTGACTCTTTAACCACTTCCGTATGTTGAATGTTTTCAAATGACGGTTTTTTGTCTTTTCTGTATATTTTATTTTACTTGTGCTTAGTTTAGTATGTTAAAGGCCTTTTAGTGATACACTATTAACAGTTGTAATAATCTTTACCTTTCAGTGTGTCATCATCAAAGTTCAGCTCTTGTCCGGTACCAAGTGATGTAACATCACTCTCACATGCTGCTCCGTTTCCACTCTGTGCCATAATGGTTTGATCTGGAAAAATCGGTAAAAAGCTTTAAATTAATATTAACTTCACTTGTATAAGCACTGTTACCAAAACAACCATTCATTTTGCGACAAGTGGTAAACTCACATTAGTATAAAACTTTTGTTGACTGAACAAATCAATCAAAATTCTGTGGCAGGCTGTCATGAAATGAGCGGTGAAGTAATTTTCAAACAACAGGACAGTAACGTAATCTGATTCAGTTTTCCGTTATGCTTTCATTCAAGACATGAAACTGCTTTCCAGAATTCAGTAGCTAAGTCGCTCAGAACACCCTAGTAACCAACCATTGCCAACTCACTTTCCGACAATCTCGGTGGCTGATTCAGTTTCAGATTTAGAGCGACGTTTTTTGCAGTTCTTTTTTGTTACCCTAGTCAATCGACTTAGTAGCAGCAGGGAGTTACAGTACCACTTCAGTAAGACGTGACAGAACCATATTTGGAAACAGAATCAGGAGTCAATTGCAGCAATAATCCTTATAAACAAATTGTTTCTTTTTGGTGCTAGTGAAATTCGGTAAAGTTTACTTTTAGTTTTATAGAACGTAACGGGATAATCGTCATAATTTGCAACAGCTTTCGTCATTGGTAATACTTTGTTGATAAAAACTCGGGATAAAAGCACTGTTAAGTATATAAATTCGGTTTGCTACTTAAAAATGCTTGGCTGCTATGACCACATCCACAAGAACACTTTTTTTACTTTCAAAACTACAAAAACTTAAGATTGGATTAACACTAAAATAACTTTTCAAATAGTAATAATAATAATAATAATAATATAATAGTTATAATAATTATAATAATAAATGGTAAAATGTGAAGGTGCTGTGGTTGCACCATAGGATTTCAGCATCCGTTATTATAAATGCCTTGCTAATTATTTCTGTTGATGGGTCCAAACGCATAACAAATTATCATAGGAATATTGTTTGGTAAACCTTTCTAAAACCGCAACTGGTCACATCACACTATCAAAGCTGGTCTTTTGGCAGAAGTATACGCATGCGCAAAAAAAAACCATTGAAGAGCGGCTAAGGGTATACGGAACACCGTAACACTGCAAAGAGAAATCGAGAAATTCGACACAACCATGCTAAAAATCCCCGAGCCAATCACAAAAACTTCGGCATGTTTAGAAATACCACAATATCAGAATTCAAGGCCACAATTACATAAGTACCGCATGAAAATTTGCCAAACACAATAATACCGCAAACTTTCTCAATGTAAGGCGCTAAAAATGTAAACCTCTACTATACTCTCCCCTCCCTGAGCCAAAACATTTGATTCCAAATACCCAACAATGGGTACGAGTACGTCGAGGCAACGCAAATACCCAAAGGGGATGGTCACGCTTCAAATTTACGGACCCATTTGGTTTATTGCACACCCTTTCACCGGCGTTGAGGGTTCTTCGTTTTCGAGTTGAGTGTATTTCGGTTTCCAAAAAAATACAGGGTACTTGTTTGTTTTTTCCATTCTTGGTTCTTTCCTTTTTACTTGTAGGTCTCTCCGATTCAGCTTCGTATTCGACAATCTGTTTTGCGGTTATGAAGTACGCCATAAGCAAACTTTTGATTAAGAAATTTGGGGTGGAACGAAACTCCAGTTGAGGTAGTCCGGATTTCAAGTGACGGCGATGATAGAAGGATTTTTTGGGCTTAAAATTTTCAATTCTGGGATTCTTTTGGGGTAGGAAAAATGTGGCAAGTATTTTCTTAGTTGGCTTGATTTTAACTGAATAATTTTGTCGGTGCGTAGTTCTGTATAGGATTTTTTGGGGGTTAATTTTTGGTTCAGGGAACTTTTGCGGGTTTTGATGTTTGCCCCAATTAGTTCATCCACGTCTCTTAAAAATCCTGAATACTCCTTTGGGAACGAAACTTGCCATGGTGTAAAAAAATAAAAAAGTGAATTATAATTGTGAGAACAAAAGATAAGAGTACAATACGGTCTATCGTGTGCAACTTTTTAATATGTTCATTTCCGTCTTCGTCTCTTTGCTGCATATTAAAACAAAAAAAGTGATCATGACAGGGGTCATTTACTCCCCGTTTAGGCAAATGGTGTCACTTGTTAACTCATAAATGGCGTTGACCATGACATTGGTCACAGAATAGTGGCAAATTTGGTCGTTAGTTACGCTCACTTTCTAGAGTTAAAAACGCCAAAAAAGCTAGAAAAGCATTAAATTTGTAGCGCTAGACGGAACTTACACTATTATTAAAGGCGTTATGCGGTAGTGTGCATCTTTCGGGTTGGCAGGAAAAAAGAAATCATACCTGCTGGGAGAAAATTCAGCATTCGTCGGCCACAAATTCTAGAAAAAGCCTAATCTAGATAAAAAAAAAATTGAAAAACCACCTTCGACTTTGACTCTTTAACCACTTCCGTATGTTGAATGTTTTCAAATGACGGAATTTTTTTCCTTTTCTGTATCTTTTATTTCATTCCTCCTTATTTTGCTATGTTAAAGTCTTGTTGGGGATACAGTATTAACAGTTGTAAGAATCTTTACCTTTCAGTGTGTCATCATCAATGTTCAGCTCTTGTCCGGTACCATGTGATGTAACATCACCCTCACATGCTGCACCGTTTCCACTCTGTGCCATAATGGTTTGATCTGGAAAAATCAGTAAAAAGCTTTAAATTGATATCATCTTCACTTGTATAAGCATTATTACCAAAACAACCATCCATTTTGCCACAAGTGGTAAACGCACATTTCATTGAAACAAATTCATTGAAATTATGTGGCAGGCAGTCATGAAATTCGCGGTGAAGTCATTTTCATAGAACAGGACAGTACATGAATTCTAATTCAGTTTTCCATTGCGCTTTCAATCAAGACATGAAACTGCTTTTCAGAATTTCTGTGGCCCACTCGCTCACGTCACCCTAGTAACCAACCATCGCGAACTTACGTTTCGACAACCTTGTAAGCTGATTCATCTTCAGATTCAGAGCGATGTTTTTTTTTTCAGTTATTTTTTTTGTTACGTAGTCAATCGACTTAGTAGCAGCATGGAGTTACAATGCGACTTCCGTAACACGTGACAGAACCATATTTGAAAACAGAATCAGGAGTCAATTGCAGCAATGTGCTATCATTAGAATGTCGCTTGTAAACATAAGATCTCATTTTCGTGCAAGTGAAACTCGGTTAAGTTTACTTGGAGATTCATAGAACTCATTAAGGGAGATAATAGTCATAATTTGCAACAGCTTTCGTTATTGATCAGTGATACTTTGTTGATAAAAGTTTGTGATAAAAACATTGTTAATTACATAAATCCCGTTTGCTACTTGAAGATATTTGGGGGCTATGACCACATTGACAACAGCACTTTTTTTTCCCTAAAAAAACTACCAAAACTTAAGATTGGATTAACACTGAAATAACCTTTCCAATTAATGATAATCATCATCATCATCATCAACATCATCCGTCATAATCATAATGTTAATAATTATAATAAATGGTACCATGTGAAGGTGCTGTGGTTGCACCATAGGATTTCGTCATCCATTAATATAAATGCAACCTTTCTAAACGTTTCTGTTGATGGGTACAACGAGGGTCTTCAACCGCATAGCAAATTACCATGGGAATATTGTTTAGCACTAAAGTGAAACTCTTTATACTACCACAACTGGGCACGATATCACACTATCGAAGCCGGTCTTGTAGTAGAAGTATACGCATGCTAAAAACTTAAGATTGGAGCGGCTAGTGGTATACCGAACTCCGTAACACAGCGAAGAAAAATCGACAAATTCGACAACTTAAACCATGCTAAAATCGCCCAGCAAATAACAAAAAATTCCGCATGTTTAGAAGTAACACAATATCATTGGGTTTATTGCAGGCCCTTTCACCGGGGTTGAGGGCGCTTCGTTTTCCAGTTGACTGTGTATTTCAGTTTTCAAAAAATAGAGGATACTTGGTTCTTTTCCCATTCGTGATTCTTTCCTTTTGACTTATAGGTCTCTCTGATTCTGCTTCGTATTCGACAATCTGTTTTGCGGTTATTAAGTACGTGATAAGCAAAACTTTCGAATAAGAAATTTAGGGTGGAACGAAACCCCAGTGGAGGTACTTCGGATTTCAAGTGATGGCGATGATAAAAGAATTTTTTGGGTTTAAAATTTTCAATTCCGGGATTCTTTTGGGATAGGAAACATTTGGCAAGTATTTTCTCAGTTGGCTTGATTTTAACTGAATAATATTGTTGGTGAGCAGCTCTGTATAGGATTTTTTGGGGGGATAATTTTTGGTGCAGTGAAGTTTGGGGGTTTTGATTTTTGCCCCCATTCGGTCATCCACGTCTCTTGAAATCCGGAATACCCCTTGGGAACGAAACTTGCTATGGTATAAAAAAATAAAATGGTGAATTATAATTGTGGGTACAAAAGGTAAGAGTACAATACAGACTATCGTGTGCAATTTTTGTGTGTGTTCATTTCAATCTTCGTCTCTTTGCTACAGATTAAAACCAAAAATACGACAGAGATCATTTATTCCTCCTTTAGACAAATGCTGTCACTTGTTAACTCATCCGATGGCGGTGATCATGACATTAGTTACAGACTTGTGAAATAGGGGCAAATTTGGTCGTTCCGTTCCTCACTTTCTGATGTTAAAAATACTAAAAATGCTGAAAATGCATTAAAGTTGTAGTTTACACTAATAAACCGTTATGCGATGCGTGTGCATCTTTCGGGTTGGCGGGAAAATAGGAATCATACTTGGCGGGAGCTAATGCAGGGCTATTTGTAATGGTGAATCAGCAATACAGTAAAGGAATTCGTCAATCACAAATTTTAGAAAAAGTTTATTTAATCTAGATAAAAAATAAAAACCCCCTTCAGTGGAGATAATGTTTAACGACTTTCCGTCTTTATGTATGTTGAATCTTATCAAATGACGGTTTTTTTCCTTTCTGTATCTTTTATTTCATTTCTCCTTAAATTTTTATGTTAAAGGCCTTTTGGTGATACGCTATTAACCGTTGTAAGAATCTTTACCTTTCAGTGTGTCATCATCAAAGTTCAGTTCTTGTTCGGTACTAAGTGATGTTACATCACCCTCACTTGCTGCTCCGTTTCCACTCTGTGCCATAATGGTTTGACCTGGAAAAATCAGTATAAAGCTATAAATTGACATTATCTTCACTTGTATATAAAGCACTAGTAACAAAACAGCCATTCATTTTGCTACAAGAGGTAAAATCGACCACAACTGATTCTAGGAAAAGCCTAATCTACATAAAAAATGAAAAAACCACCTTCAGTAGAGATACTGTTTAACGACTTTGACTCTTTAACCACTTCCGTATGTTGAATGTTTTCAAATGACGATTTTTTGTCAGTTTTGTATATTTTATTTTTTTGTCGTTAGTTCGCTATATTAAAGGTCTTTTGGTGATACACTATTAGCAGTTGTAAGAATCTTTACCTTTCACTGTGTTATCATCAAAATTCAGCCCTTGTCCGGTACCAAGTGATGTAACATCACTCTCACATGCTGCTCCGTTTCCACCCTGTGCCATAATGGTTTGATCTGGAAAAATCGGCAAAAAGCTTTAAATTAATATTAAAAGCACTATTAAAACATTAGTATTAAAACTAATATTAGAAAAAAAAAAAAAATCACCTTCAGTAGAGATAATGTTTAACGACTTTGAGTCTTTAACCATCCGTTGTTGAATGTTTTCAAATGACGGTTTTTTTCCTTTTTTTAATTTTTTATTTCATTTGTCCTTAAATTTGCTATGTTAGAGGCCTTTTGGTGATACAGTATTAACAGTTGTAAGAATCTTTACCTTTCAGTGTGTCATCATCAAAGTTCAGCTCTTGTCCGGTACCATGTGATGTAACATCACTCTCACTTGCTGCTCCGCTTCCACTCTGTACCATAATGGTTTGATCTGGAAAATCAGTATAAAGCTATAAATTGACATTATCTTCACTTGTATATAAAGCACTAGTACCAAAACCACCATTCATTATGCCACAAGTGATAAACTCGCCCACAAATTCTACGAAAAGCCTAATCTAGATAAAAAATGAAAAAGACACCTTCAGTACAGATACTGTCGACTTTGACTCTTTAACCACTTCCGTCTGTTGAATGTTTTCAAATGACGGTTTTTTGTCTTTTTTTAATTTTATTTCATTTGTCCTTCACTGTTAACAGTTGTAAGAATCTTTACTTTTCAGTGTGTCATCATCAAAATTTAGCCCTTGTCCGGTACCAAATAATGTAACATCACTCTCACATGTTGCTACGTTTCCACCCTGTGCCATAATGGTTTGATCTGGAAAAATCGGCAAAAAACTTTAAATTAATATTAACTAGTATTAACTAGTATTAACTAATATTAGATAAAAAATAAAAACAACCTTCAGTGGAAATAATGTTTAACTACTTTTAGTCTTCATGTATCAAATGTTGAATGTTATCAAATGAAGGTTTTTTCCTCTCTGTATCTTTTATTTCATTTCTCCATAAATTTTTCATGTTAAAGGCATTTTGGTGATACACTATTAACAGTTGTAAGAATCTTTACCTTGCAATGTGTCATCATCAAAGTTCAGCTCTTGTCCGGTACCAAGCGATGTAACATCACTCTCACATGCTGCTCCGCTTCCACTCTGTACCATAATGGTTTGATCTAAAAAGTCAGTATAAAGCTATAAATTGACATTATGTTCACTTGTATATAAAGCACTAGTACCATAACATTCATTCATTATGCCACAAGTGATAAACTCGACCACAAATTCTACGAAAAGCCTAATGTAGATAAAAAAAAACACCTTCAGTAGAGATACTGTTTAACGACTTTGCCTATTTAACCACTTCCGTTTGTTGAATAATTTCAAATGACGGTTTTTTGCCTTCTTTGTATGTTTTATGTCATCTGTCCTTAGTTTGCTACATTAAAGGCCTTTTGGTGATACACTATTAACAGTTGTAAGAATCTTTACCTTTCAGTGTGTCATCATCAAAGTTCAGCTCTTGTCCGGTACCATGTGATGTAACATCACTCTCACTTGCTGCTCCGTTTCCACTCTGTGCCATAATGGTTTGATCTGGAAAAATCAGTATAAAGCTGTAAATTGACACTATCTTTACTTGTATATAAAGCACTAGTACCAAAACAACCATTCATTATGCCACAAGTGATAAACTCGAAAAGAAATTCTACGAAAAGCCTAATCTAGATAAAAAAAATTAAAAAAATGAAAAACCACCTTTAGTAGAGATACTGTCGACTTTGACTCTTTAACCACTTCCGTATGTTGAATGTTTTCAAATGACGGTTTTTTGTCGTTTTTATATGTTATTCTATTTGTCCTTAGTTTGCTACATTAAAGGCCTTTTGGTGATACACTATTAACAGTTGTAAGAATCTTTGCCTTTCAGTGTGCCATCATCAAAGTTCAGCTCTTGGCCGGTACCATGTGATGTAACATCACTATCACTTGCTGCTCCGTTTCCACTCTGTGCCATAATGGTTCGATCTGGAAAATCAGTACAAAGCTATAAGTTGACATTATCCTCACTTGTATATAAAGCACCAGTACCAAAACATCCATTCATTATGCCACAAGTGATAAACTCGATCACAAATTCTACGAAAAGCCTAATCTAGATAAAAAATGAAAAAACCACCTTCAGTAGATATACTGTTTAACTACTTTGCCTCTTTAACCATTTCCGTTTGTTGAATAATTTCATATGACGGTTTTTTTGTCTTTTTTGTGTATTTTATTTCATCTGTCCTTAGTTTGTAATCTTTAAGGCCTTCTGGTGATACAGTCTTAACGGTTGTAAGAATCTTTACCTTTCAGTGTGTCATCGTCAAAGTTCAGCTCTTGTCCGGTACCATGTGATGTAACATCACTCTCACTTGCTGCTCCGTTTCCACTCTGTACCATATATAATAGTTTGATCTGGAAAAATCAGTATAAATCTGTAAATTGACACTATCTTTACTTGCATATAAAGCACTAGTACCAAAACAACCATTCATTATGCTATAAGTGATAAACTCGAAAAGAATTTCTGGGAAAAGCCTAATCTAGATAAAAAAAAGAATATGAAAAACCCACTTTTAGTAGAGATACTGTCGACTTTGACTCTTTAACCACTTCCGTATGTTGAATGTTTTCAAATGACGGTTTTTTGTCTTTTTGTAAATTTTATTTCATTTGTCCTTAGTTTGCTATATTAGAGGCCTTTTGGTGATACACTATTAACAGTTGTAAGAATCTTTACCTTTCAGTGTGTCATCATCAGAGTTTAGCTCTTGTCCTGTACCATGTGATGTAACATCACTCTCATATGCTGCTCCGTTTCCACTCTGTGCCATAATGAGTTGATCTGGAAAAATCGGCAAAAATTGACATTATCTTTAAATAAAGCCCTAGTACCAAAACAACCATTCATTATGCTAGTGATAAACTCGACCAGAAATTCTACGAAAAGCCTAATCTAATAAAAAAAAAAATAAAAAACACCTTCAGTGGAGATAATGTTTAACGACTTTCAGTCTTCATGTATCAAACGTTGAATGTTGTCAAATGACGATTTTTTGTCGTTATTCTATTTGTCCTTAGTTTCCTATCTTAAAGGCCTTTTGGTGAAATATTATTAACAGTTGTAAGAATCTTTACCTTTCAGTGTGTCATCATCAAAGTTCAGCTCTTGTCCGGTACCATGTGATGTAACATCACTCTCACATGCTGCTCCGTTTCCACTCTGTGCCATGATGGTTTGATCTGGAAAAATCGGTAAAAAGCTCTAAATTAATATTAACTAGTATTAACTAATATTAGATAAATAATAAAAAACACCTTCAGTGGAGATAATGTTAAACGACTTTCAGTCTTCATGTATCAAACGTTAAATGTTGTCAAATGACGATTTTTTGTCGTTATTCTATTTGTCCTTAGTTTGCTATATTAAAGGCTTTTTGGTGAAACACTATAACAGTTGTAAGAATCTTTACCTTTCAGTGTGCCATCATCAAAGTTCAGCTCTTGTCCGGTACCATGTGATGTAACATCACTCTCACATGCTGCTCCGTTTCCACTCTGTGCCATAATGGTTTGATCTGGAAAATCAGTATAAAGCTATAAATTGACATTATCTTCACTTGTATAGAAAGCACCAGTACCAAAACATCCATTCATTATGCCACAAGTGTTAAACTCGATCACAAATTCTACGAAAAGCCTAATCTAGATAAAAAATGAAAAAAACACCTTCAGTAGACATACTGTTTAACTACTTTGCCTCTTTAACAACTTCCGTTTGTTGAATAATTTCAAATGACGGTTTTTTGTCTTTTTTGTATATTTTATTTCATCTGTCCTTAGTTTGTATTCTTTAAGGCCTTCTGGTGATACAGTCTTAACAGTTGTAAGAATCTTTACCTTTTAGTGTGTCATCGTCAAAGTTCAGCTCTTGTCCGGTACCATGTGATGTAACATCTCTCTCACTTGCTGCTCCGTTTCCACTCTGTGCCATAATAGTTTGATCTGGAAAAATTAGTATAAATCTGTAAATTGACACTATCTTTACTTGTATATAAAGCTCTAGTACCAAAACAACCATTCATTATGCCATAAGTGATAAACTCGAAAAGAAATTCTGCGAAAAGCCTAATCTAGATAAAAAAAGAAAATGAAAAACCCACTTTTAGTAGAGATACTGTCGACTTTGACTCTTTAACCACCTCCGTGTGTTGAATGTTTTCAAATGACGGTTTTTTTCTTTTTTTAAATTTTACTTCATTTGTCCTTAGTTTGCTATATTAGAGGCCTTTTGGTGATACGCTATTAACAGTTGTAAGAATCTTTACCTTGCGGTGTGTCATCATCAAAGTTCAGCTCTTGTCCGGTACCAAGTGATGTAAGATCACTCTCACATGCTGCTCCGTTTCCACTCTGTGCCATAATGGTTTGATCTGGAAAAATCAGTAAAAAGCTTTAAATTAATATTAATTTCACTTGTATTTGTACTGTTACTAAAACAACCATTCATTTTGCCAAGTGGTAAACTCACATTAGTATAAAACTTTTATTGACTGAACAAATCAATCAAAATTATGTGGCAGGCAGTTAAGAAATGCGTGAAGCAATTTTCAAACAACAGGACACGTAATCTGATTCAGTCTTTTGTTGAGCTTTCAATCAAGACATGAAACTGCTTTCCAGAATTCAGTAGCCCAGTCGCTCAGGCCACCCTAGTAACCAACTATTGCGAACTCACTTTTCGACAATGTCGGTAGCTGATTCAGTTTCAGATTCAGAGCGACGATTGTTGCAGTTATTTTTTGTTACCCCAGTTAAACGACTTAGTAGCAGCAGGGGGTTACAGTACCAGGAGTCAATTGCAGCAATAATCCTTATAAACATATTGTTTCTTTTTGGTGGAAGTGAAATTCGGTAAAGTTTACTTTTAGCTTTAAAAAAACTTAATGGGATAATCGTCATAATTTGGAACAGGTTTCGTTATTGGCAATACTTTGTTGATGAAAATTCGTGATAAAAACACTGTTAAGTATATAAATTCGGTTTGCTACTTAAAGATGTTTGGCTGCTATGACCACATCAACAAAAACACTTTTCTTACTTTGAAAATTACAGAAACTTAAGATTGGATTGGATTAACACTTAAATAAACTTTTCAAATAGTAATAATAATAATAATAATATGATAGTTATAATAATTATAATAATAAACGGTACAATGTGAAGGTGCTGTGGCTGAGCTATAGGATTTCAGCATCCTTTATTATAAATGCCTTGCTAATTATTTCTGTTGATGGGTTTAACCGCATAACACATTATCATGGGAATATTTTTTGGCACTAAAAGTGTACACTTTTCTAAAACCGCAACTGGTCACGGTATCACACTATGAAAGCCAGTCTTGTAGCAGAAGTATACGCATGCGCAAAAAAAAGTTGAAGAGCGGCTAGGGGTATACCGAACACCGTAACACTGCAATGAAAAATCGAAAAATTGGACACAACCATCCTAAAAATCGCCGAGCCAATAACAAAAAATTCCGCATGTTTAGATATACCAAAATATCAGAATTCAAGACCACAATTACAGAAGTACCGCATGAAAATTTGGCAAACACAATAATGCCCCAAACTTTCTCAATGTAAGCTGATAAAATGTAACACTCTATTATAGTCTCCCCTCCCCGAGACAGACGTTTGATTCCAAATGCCTCACGGTGCAGTGGGCAAAAGAGCCTAGAGGCAACGCAAATGCCCAAAGGGGATGGTCACACTTCAAATTTACTGACCCATTTTAGCTGATTGCAGGCCCTTTCACCGGAGTTGAGGGTTCTTCGTTTTCGAGTTGAGTGTATTTCGGTTTCCAAAAAATACAGGATACCTGGTTCTTTTCCCATTCGTGGTTGTTTCCGTTTTACTTGTAGGTCTCTCCAATTAAGCTTCGTATTCGACAATCTGTTTTGCTGTTATGAAGTACGTCATAAGCAAAACTCTCGATTTTCGAAATTGGGGTGGATCGAAACCCGAGTAGTACTCTGGATTTCAAGTGACGGGTTTGATCGAAGGATTTCTTGGGTTTGAAATTTTCAATTTCCGGGATTTTCTTGGGGTAGCTAAGGAAAATTTGGCAAAAATTTTGTCGGATGGCTTGATTTAACTGAAAATTGTTATTCGTGGTTTGCCTGCTTATTCTAGCCGCGTAGTTGTGTATGGGATTTTTTTTTTTTTTTTTTTTTTTTGGGGTAATTTTTTGGTCCAGGGATTTTTTGGGCTTTTGATTTTTGCTCCCATTCGAACATCCACGTCACTTTAAACCGGGAATAACCCCTGAAACTTGCTGTGGTAAAAGCTTTGTTCGCACTTCTGATAAATAAAATAAGAACAACCGTGATAAAAAAAATCGAAAAAATTAGTTGAATGTTTTGAATGGCAAGAAAATTGAATTGCGAGGATTAAGCGAAGGTCTATTTGCTGAACTGATTCAGTTTTCGAGAAGGAAAACCATTTCAGTTAAGAAGCTTGTCTTTAGTGGACCCGGCTAATTAAGGAAGAGTTTTAAAATTTGTGCTAAAGGACCACAAGTCAAGGATGGAGAGTCTGTCTTAGATGGAATGCCCATCTTAAATAAATCCGCATGGGCTCTTTCTCTCTCTCATTTTTGCTAAATGGGGAAAAAACGAACTCAACAGACCATTGCTTCTGGTAGAGAAAAAATTGTGCTGCAGATATTGCGACTTAGAAATGCGAAGATAATGAAGAAGGTTTTTCAAAAACAGTTCAATTAATTGTTAATTAAAATACCTTACGTTAGTTTCTGACCCTATCAATGCACTCACGGGAATCGTAAAAAAGCGATAAAAACAACAGGAAACTTTTCGAAATCACTAATTATAGTGTGGCTTGTTTAGAAAGTGCACAAATAACATGGCATTGAACAATATTATACGCTTGTTACAGGTAAGAAAACCTTTCACTAAACAAACGATCTAATTGATCAGATTTAGCCTACCTGTATTTTCACGCAGGAAGAACTTCTCTGTTTCGCTTCACTGTAGCTGTTTCACTCAGTCGTATCTTGATATGATGATATGAAAGGGGCGTCAACTGACTATAAAGACTTTGGCGAATCATGTGATCAAAAGGACACGACGCAATAGGTTAATTTTATTTTAAGAAAATGTGTGTGATGACGTTCTGCCTAAAAATATGTTTTATTCGTAACAATTTACGAAAATGATATAAACAAAAGAATATGACGCGAGAATATTCTGTTTAAAGAAAATGTGTTTGATGACATCCGATCGAAAATAAAACTGTTACTTGGCAATTTATAAACTGTTACACACATATACAATATTTCGCTTTACAATATTTCTCTTTCATGCATTCTCTCTCTTTCGTAGTTAAATCTGTAATATTTTCTAAAGCAAAACCCCTGGAGTCAATCAGAAATAGTATTCCATGCCATCTCAGTGTGACAATAAGAAGAAGGAAGCCATACACTATACCAGTCCAGAAAAAGTGCAAATCCCAGTTTTCTTGTGAAAATGAGTTTTATTTACATGAGAATAAAAAAAATTTTCATGTCAATGACTTTGCACTTAGCCCCGCTTTGAAACAGAGGCTGAGGCCGGCTCGGTAGTAGACTATTGGTGAGGACTCATTTGTCTCTTACATTGTTTTGCTCATAGTAACCTATGCGTTGTTTTTTGCTCATATAAAAAGTCAAGAATATCTCAAACTGAAGTATTTGAGCTGCAATCGGTGACAAAATTGTTGAGAAGTGTACCCGTGGGTAACTTCAGAGAACTATTCTCTCTTGAGAGAACAAAACAATTCACACCCATCCCCTCTTTCTTTCATTCAAAGTTGGGGTATTTGTTGTTTTCTACACGTACCTTGTGGTAAATTTCGTGCCACAAGGCAACTCGAACAGCCGCACAACATTGCATGGGGGAGATGAGAGAAGAAAAGCTTTATTTTGTCCTTTTAGAGTCAGTAAAACGGCAGAAAGGTCTTTTAGGGAAAAGTGTCTCATCTAATTTTGTCGCTGATTGTGGTTTCTTCCTTGCGGTCCAAACGCTAAGAAGCTAAACAGTCAAGAGAAGGAAATGGCTTTTAAAGACTTTCTTTAAAAATATTTTAACTTTTTTCTCGGTAGCTATTTATCTATCTTACTCTTTAGAGTAACCTGATATGATGTAAGGCCGTGTTTCATTTTCTAATGAAACTACCTCTTATTTATTTAGACCGTATTGGCACTTAATTATGTGGTTCTTTAGCGTTTTGCGCGATTGTAAAAAAAGAACTTTCGAAATTAAAGATTCCGCAAATAAACATTCTCGCGAAATTTTATACCCATATAATCCACATAGAAAATTCAAATCACGGAAGAAAATAAAAAAACATGTAATAATAAAAACTCAGTATACACGACATGATCATGAATCGATATATATATGAGAGTTTCCCCAGCTCCAGGGCATAAAATTTAGTTGTATGAATACACGAAGCTCTTACTTCGAATCCGACGCCCGGTCGCTAAGCGCTTGTTGCGCGTCTTATTATTTGGGCGTCGCCCAAATAGAGTAGTTGCAATAGGCACGCAATGCGTGCGAACGTAAACAAGCCAAGCGACGCGAATGTCTGCCACGCGATGTGTCACGATACAGCATTCATCCTCGTTACAATATGTCCCAGAGCTAACGCACGGCAAACACCGACGTGAAACAAACTATTAACTTCTTAAGCACATCGCTCGTTAATAATGCAATGTTTCAAAGGATTAAATGAATTTCCCTATACAAATAAATTCGCAATAGATATCAGTATCGGCGCTTATTTATTGTTTTTAAGTATACCGAAAAAATCATATTTTTTATATGGAACTCAACGGATCACCGCGTGACTTTCCACGAGTTTTGCTAATTTACTGTATTAGAATGACAATCAACTAGTAATAACCAAAGGATACTGAGTGCGGGCGACAACGATCGAAAGTCAAAACGCTTTTGCTCCAACGCAGTGCGCAAGTTTCACGTGGAGATGGTCAAAATACGCGTGATCAGATAACGAGTGATAGAAGGTCCAATCGCGAGTGATCAAATCGCGTTCTGTGTATTCCATTCATTCTTAGTGGAAGTCCAAACGAATCCTGGCTACATACATGCGACGCATGCTTAATAACAACCTGGAGATTAGAATTGAGGGCTTCTCTTATCGCCTGCAGTTAACGTGTGGGACTGGGAAAGTTTAATAGAAAGATTCTATTAAATGCACGGGATATTTTTGTCCTAATATTTGAACTCTTCAGTACTCTGCTGCTCGTTTTGGATTAAAAGTTATATACAAACTTCTTTTAAATTAAAAAAAATAGGAAATTTCTGACGCAGGAGTTTTAAATAAGTGCAATCGAACGCATTG